TTGTTAAGGATTTAGGCGTAGACAGGGCCACTTTCTTAACATTTGTATGCCAAGAAAGTGTGATGACAAAGGAAGGTGTTTGTTTTCTATTATTTTATTTTAGCTAAAAAAGTGCTATAGGGTAAGCTGTTTTTAGGTAGCACAGTATAGTGAGACACTCACTTGTCTGAGACACTCGCTTATCATATACGTTATACAGTAAGGGGAGCCAATAGGTTCACGGGTACCCGTGGACCTATTGGCTCCCAGCTCAAAGAGACTGCTTACAAAATATCGTTACAGCCCTGTCACTTACTGTTACACCCTAGTCGCGTTTGCGGGTGCAAAACCAATGAGAGGAGGGCTTGGATCGGAGGGTATCCCTGCTGGCTCCATAGCATCGTGATCTACTCCAGAAATGAGCCAATAACGCCAAGGCTTGAGCCGGACGATATCCCAGTCGACTCCACAACAACGTCCTAAAATAGCTAGACTTTGTCTTGGGCAATGCTTGACTGAATAGCAAAGATGATGTCTAGGTAGATAAACGAATGGATTCCCTTGTCCTCGGATCACAGTCACCGTTCGTGGAGTTATTCTCCCTATTCGTATTCTGCAGGGCAATAGCAGGCTCAGAAACACCTGCACTTTTGGCGCGTGCGGAGTCTCTTTGTGAGCAGTTGATGTATAGTTGGAAGCCGTTATGCGGTCTATCCTCCGTCAAAGACGATATGGCAAATACGACACACGGGCTTTCATTCGTTAATCACCCCAAGAACGTGCTAGCAGAGACTTATTTGGAACTATCTTTGAAAGCCTGCACCAATCAAGTGAACCCTCTCTCGCGCAAAGGGCGATGGAATCAGAAGGAAATACTTGCATACCTCAACAAGGAAAAAGCATTGCGCGAGATCTTGTCAGGTCTGATGCTCATGACGTGCGGTGGCCAGCCATGTATACCAGACTTGCTCAACATCCGAGTTTGCAATCATAGGACTAGCGAGCGTAGCCTTTACGTGTATAACGGCTATATGATCTATGTCACTCGCAGTCACAAAGCAAAGCGCTCAATCAATAGGGAATTTGTTGTCGCTCGGTTCCTCCCTTCCCAAGTCGGTCACTTAATGTATACACACATTGTGTATATTCGCCCTTTCGTAGATATGCTTGCTCGAGAACAACTACTGCGCATCAATGGTTGTTCTCCCTTTTCCTTTCGGAGCCGTTCAGAGTCTGACAGCCCTTCCTGGTCTACAGAACGCCTTAGTAATACCGTCAGACGCTTCACACAGGAGGTTTGGGATAAGGAACTCCTAATCCTAATCATCGGAAGATCTAATATTCCGGACAAAGATGCTAGACGGTGATTGGTCAAAAACAAGAAACGCAGTCCGGCGGGATATAGTTCAACCTTTGTACAGTAGTGGCATTTTCCTAAATTGGTTAGCGCCGCGCCCCCTATTACGTACGTTTAAATGGAATGGCGCTCTGCACATCCCTATTCTTAATACCCATCAACACCTAGGCACATCACAATCAGCTCATCAATATGTCAGAGACCGCACACAGCAAACCCGGGCATCTCCAAGATAAGATCGCTGAAAGACAAATACGCCATGCCCGGAGCCAATTCATTGACTCTATTAACCCAGAGGATGTCCGCCGACTTGCCGCCTCATACCACCCCAGTCAGTCTAATGGCGAGTTCTTTCAGGAACCTATCCATGGGAGTTACAATATTTGCTACTTCATTCAATTCCCCTCGCTATCGGGCTCGTCTTCGTCACCAAGACTGTGGGACAAGTGGGTTGTGCGGATTCCATTGGCCCCTTGCCTCCCATTTGGCGCAGACCAAAAACTGGAATGCGAGATCGCAACAATGAAGTCCGCTACCTGAAAATCTATGGACTCTTGACCTTGGATATCTATGACTAACTTTTGTGCAGGCTCGTAGCTCAAAAGACTTCGATCCCGATCCCGGATCTGATTGCATATGCCATCAACGAGAAGTCGAAACCATTTCCGACTTTTATGATACTTGAGTTTGTGGAGGCAGAGAATCTCTCGCACAAGAAGTACCACGCGTTCACACGAGAGCAACAGCAACAGCTATATCAATCCCTTGCTGATATTTTTATCCAGCTGAGGAGGTTAGAGTTTGACGCTATCGGCCGCCTGACATGCCGAGATGATGCTAGCTTCACCGTTAGTCATCCGATTGCGACAATAGACATCAACTCACAAGCTCTTGAGGGCGTCCGGCCTTCAAAAGTGCTCGCCCGCTACGACGGAGGGGGCCCATTACAACGCTCTACTCAGTATATTGAACTCCTCCACGATCTTGCGGACAATGCCTTCAGTGAGAGTCGCACCAGCGTTCTCGACAATGACGGTATCGGCGAGGAGTACCTTTACTACCTACATAGCTTCCGCAGCCATGTGAATAAATGGAGAGCAGGAGATGATGACCGAGGCCCGTTTGTTCTAGTCCATGGAGACTTTCAGCCATTTAATCTCCTAGTCAACGACCAAGGGAGTGTTGTCAGTGTCCTGGACTGGGAATGGAGTCGTGTCGTCCCCCGACAATTCTTTAGACCACCACTGTGGTTGCAGTATGCAGATACGACACTTCTGTCACGGCCACTATTCTATGAGCGATTTCTTGAGACGCTACAAGACTTCCTAAGTATCGTTCGGCAAAGAGAGATTCAAAAATACGGCAGCACGATGCTTGCAGATGAATGGAGTCACGCGCAGAAAAGACAAGGCTTCCTCGTGTCCAACGCTTTAGAGAGCTGGTCGCATGTGGACTGGTATATGTCCAACCAGGAGTGTGCCGAGGGTTTAGAGGGGCGCATTCAAGCATTTATGTCAAGTGATCCTCGTCGAGCGGACTTGGTTGCGAGGAAGGTCCGGGATGGTGAGACTTATAAGGCTGATGTCCAGCGTAATACGAGGACGAAGCCCGGAGCCTCCCGTTGGTTCCCAGCAAGTGTTTGCAAGCTGGTTTCGCAAGCCTGGTATTCGGCAATGGTGATAAGGAAAAAATCCAGCGTGCCTCTACTACTACCAGGGGTGATAATCATGTTCATCTGCGGAGGTGGCCTGGTCGGCTACAAGTCAAGACTGTGGCCCTGGCTTCATGTATCACTATCTAGATTCTGCTAGTCATCCATATCCGAAGTTAGTATGAAAACTCAAGCCTTGCTCCAAACCTCCCACTGCTCTCGCTCCTGTCGAGCTGCACGATGAAGCTCCTCGCATCTGTCAACAGCCATCTTTTGCGCTTCCAGCTCCGCCTCAATGTTGCTCATCACGCTTTCCTTTCCTCGCCTCTTCCTTGCGGCGTTTGACGACGAGGACATTTGCTCGCGAGCTTGATTGTCCATCCGAGCCATGATCTCTTCCATCTTGCGGCGTTGTTCTTCAAGTTTTTGTTTGAGTTCGTTCTCTCGTTTGATCTTAACTCCGAGTTCCCGTTGGCGTTGCTCGCTGATGCTTGACATTGCAACGTTATGGCGTACCGTGATCAAATATGGAAGCTTTGGTCACGGGTTGGTCTTCATATCCACAACAGCGTCGATTTGTTAAAAGTCGAGCCAGAAGGCTAATCGGCAATCAGGCAGGTCAGAGGTTTCGCTCTAGACTATAAGAGCGTAATGGTAATTGCGTAGGATCTTTAAAAATGAGAAGAGTGAATACTTGCAGCACTCTGAGATGAGCGGGGTAGGTTTTATCTATAGACAAAGAGAAAATATTAATTACGTAAGGCATAACGTGGTTGATAAGCGGGTGTCACAGATAAGCAGAACTTATCGTGGGGTCGTTTTGCGGAGTAATTTCGGGAAATCGTATGTGATTACACAAATACCATCTGATAAGTGCCCGG